CTTCATCATGAGTCCGAATCATAAATAGAGTGCATGTTCTCAATAACAGTTTAAATAAATAAAAGAATGATTTAAACTATGTACTTCTGATATAAACGTTTAGATTAAATATGCCATTCTCATTAATGGAGTTAAACACTTAAACTAGCCTACATGAAATAATTACTGAGAAGTTACAAAAAAAATTATATTCAATAAACAGAAATAGACATATTTGTCATTCATTTTTCTTCAACATTTCGTCAACATTTTTCTTCTGGCATGCTGTGTTTTAATGTTTTAACTAGAGATAATTGATAATCATGATAATAGCCGATTGTCTGAGAAAATTGTTTCGTGCAAATAATGCACAACCATGTCTATCTGTTTCCATTAAAATATAAATCAATTAAAAATACAATTTGGCCAGTGGAAAAGATTGAGAAAAACTTTCACTGAAATGTATTTAACACTATTTGATTTATTCATTCAAAAACAAGGCAATGCTATAGGCTACTAAAAAAAAATATGTTTGTAATGTGACGGCACATCCACGTTTCATATTTTCCTAACGTTTTGTACCATTAAACTTGGTATCACGTGGATGAATAATCATATGCAGATGAGGATATGCATATTTAAACTAGGAGTTGTAATCTCCATATATGGTTATTTCGGGAAGGAGACGCACGTGCGCACAATCTCCCGCTGACTGGGATTTATAAATTGAATTCTGCGCAGGTTCTGGCGTACGAACGGTTTTATAAATCTGAAAACTTTTGTGCGTATGCTAATTCTGCCTTATGTGTGAAGACTAAAATTTCATCTTTTAATATTATTTCATTATTAAATATTATGTATCTGTATTATTATTCTTTATTAGTTTTCATAATCACTGTATTATCCTATGGAGTTTCAAGTTTGAATGCATGAAAAGAACATATGTCAGGGGAAAGCTATATATTGCTTAGAGAGGTATGTGTGCAATGTAACATGTTCACTCAGCATAAATGTTTCCACTGATGCAAGTGTACCACAGATGTACATAACAAGGAAAGAAGCGCACGTATGACATATACGTTCTAAGTTGAGAAGCTCAGAGCAACATGTTTGTTACCTTACAAGGAAGCTGTAAGACTGTGTGATGTATAAAACTCAATGTCACATTGTACCACCCTTAGAGAAACATGTAGGCATGACCGGGTGAGAGGGTAGAGATACATGGAGAAACGCATAGACCAGGCATGAACACAACATCATGAAGTTTCTCTCCTGACATATATATAATATATAATAAAACTTTCTTGGCAAGATAACTGGTGTCCGGTCCCGTAAATTGAATAATAACGGGGAACCACAAGAGGCTTTAATTCCAAGTCTACATGTGCATACGCACACTTTAAGGATGAAATCTACGCAAAGTTTTATACATGAGGCCCCTGGTTTCATTTAATTTAGAAAGTCATTGTCACCAGTGACACCAGTCATCTCTGATTGGTCAATGTCTAATTTGATTCATGTGTTGACAATTTAAATCTGTGGCTATACCTTCTGGGTTCACAGTAACCTGAGTGTAATGGTATGTGAAGGAACAATGAATGTGGTCAGGTGTTTAGATGGTACGATTTACTGACTTTTTCTTTAAAATTGTAATCTTTCCAGGCGGAAACTGATTAAAGAGCATGCACCCGAGATCAAGGTCTCTATTAGAAGAATAGAGGAGGACTGGGAGAACAAGTGGGCAGTGTGTTTGAAAAACACACCCCTGACCTCTTTTCTTGTAGGGGATCATGTAAGTGAAGTCTGCTTTTAAATCTATGCTGCCAGTTTAGCCATTTAGGTTCACTGGTCATACAGTTTACTTTGTGTAACATCTGGACAAAGCAAAGTTTCAGAGAAGACAAAGAAGTGTTCATACAGAAGTCACGTTTGGTGCATTTTCATCAATGTTCTGACTTTTTGAATGAGAATTATCTGCTTTCTGTAACATTTAATAGGCTCTTGACTTTGTCTCTCCAATGGCTCCTCTCTCATTTGAGCCAGCTTCTGAGGCCAGCTTTGAGGCTAGTGTCCTCTCACAATATTCATATAAACTACCTGGTAAGTTAAAAGCTTAGATGGGTGCATTATGGTAAATCTTTCCTCTGTAGAGCTGGTGTAATTATCCTTTTTTTTCTCCCTCACTTTTGAGAATTGCTAGAGCAGCCGTCAAAAAGAAAACAAGAGGTAACTGTTACAGATGTCCATTTTGAGCCAGAAGTCCAACTGGAGCCAGATCTCAAAACGTACAGCACAATTTGAGTCTTTCTAAATAGTGAATGTTTGGAAAATAACTTTTGTTCTATTTTCATGGAAATAAAGTGTAACTTCCTCCCTAATTTCTCAGCAGTACTTCAGTGGCAGCTGAAGATAAGGGGGTCCCGCTGTCTTCTGACAGCAGCTTTGCCACAAAAACAACGACTTTTGACGCACCACCATGTCCATCTCCCTTGCTTTACCCGGTTAAAATTCAGTCTGTGGCCCATACAGCCACTCCAGTACAGGTAGTTTTATATTGCTAAGCTCTATGCCTTTTCAGCCTGTATCCCTTCATTTTAGCCCCATGCATGCTGGCACAAATAAACACCCTATCTCAGTTGCTGTATTTGCAATTTAATACCTTGTAGATTTTGCTCTGGGAAACTAATACATGGGCAGTCCTGAGCAGTGCTTTACTCATCACAAGTTTTCCCTATATCAAACCTGCTCTCTGATGACCGGTGCGAACTGAGAGAAATCGCCACGGACAGATACGGAGCAGACAATTCTCTGCTTTGAGTTTATGTAAATGTACTGTATGAAAAGGTTATTTTTTCAGTCCGTGCTTTCTGCAATACCCCCAGAAGTTCATGCAAATGAAATGTTTACTTGCATTATGCTTGATCTGTGAGCATGTTTGAAAACTGCAAGTTTGTAAGTTCCACCTTATTTGTTGTTTTCAACATAACTTGGATTATCCCCCCTCTCCCTCTTTTACAGCCTAGCCACAGAAGTCTGCACTCAACAAAGACAAAGGCATCTGTCCTAAAGAACAAGGCTCAAATTTTAGATTTGGAGTATGACAACTTGGCAAGTCAAGTATGTGATGTTATTTATTTATTAAGTTCACTGAGGTAATTTAATACAACTTTTTTTTTATTTTTATTTTTTTTTATGTATTGAATGTATGTGCTAAGTTTTTTCATGTGAGGCACCATGTCAGTTCAAACTAATTGCCCCACGGGGATTAATAAAGATTTAAACTAAACTAAAAACTACTAAGGAAATGTAAAATTTAACTTCCCTCTAAATTACTGAACTAATATTTAGTTGCATAACCATTGTTTTTGATAACTGCGTTGCATTTGAGTCAACCAACGTCTGGCAAGTTTTAGCACAACTGAACAACAGATTAAAATAGCTATGTTTTGCAGTTTAGGGCCTTATAGATTTTGCTCTGGGAAACTGATACATGGGCAGTCCTCATCAGTGCTCTACTCATCACAAGTTTTCCCTATATCAAACCTGCTCTCTGATGACCGGTGCGAACTGAGAGAAATCGCAACGGACAGATACGGAGCAGACAATCCTCTGCTTGAGTTAATATAAATGTACTGTGTAAAAAGATTAATTCACTGTTTGCTTCTCAGTTTGCAGAGGCAGTTATAATGAGTCCAGTCTATGGAAGGAGTGATATGGACCTTGGGCAGTTACTAAATGCCATATCTGACCCTTTTTTAGCTAGGAAACAACTATGCCGCACCCCTGAGAGTCTAAGTACAAGTCTTTTAATTTTTCTTCTCCATTTAGTATTTCAAGTTATAAATATTTAGCTCACCCTTCATTAGATGTATAAACTTTTTGCATAAACTCTCCCTAGTTAAGGATGTGAGAAGTTCGTGGAGAAAAGCTGTGGAGGAAGGCATGGCTGAGAAGAAACAAGCATCTTGGAATCAGGATGATGGTCTTTCTTGGCTTCAAAGGCCAATGGGTGAGGTGAACAGCTCTTGTACAAGACCAAGTCCAGAGCCTTCTCTCTTATTTTCAACTACTCTTGCCCATTGCACTCCCCCTCCTGTCCAGCAGGGGTCACCCCTTCATTCAACTGTGTCATGGGACTCCTCACAGCTGGAGGCTTTTTACAGCCAAAGCTCAAATGATGTTATTAAATTCAACATTGCTCAGGAGGAGCTCCCAAATCTTTTTGAGGATGAGGTGTCATTTAACAGTGACTGCACAGAGGAGGTCCATGGTAACAAGGAGCGAGAGGAACAACTTATACTGCCACCTGTTGAACTGATCACACAAATGTGCTTGGAGCCCTCTTTAGATAAATCCCCCTTCGAAGACTCCCCAGTACATTCAAGGAAGAGCCCAGGTTTGAGCCACTGGATTGCTGAGGAGAGGCTTTTCTCTCTTGATCTGGACAAGCTTGAGAGTCTGTCCCCTCCTTCTCCTGCAGAGAAATTCACCCTGCCCAGTTTAGTGAATTTGACTCTTGATGAATACTAACATATCTTAATAAACTACTATAATTGTTTACATACTAGTATGATGCAAAATGCATCTGCCAAATTAAATGAAATTACTGCTTGATGTGTTTTCACTTGATTTAATCACAAGTACTTTGAACCTTTTTAAAGCTACTATCAACTAACTCATTTGTCTGAACCATGAGAATTTTTATGACCTCAATACTAAAATTTAGTATGTACAAACTAATTGTAAAAGGTAATTGGCTGAAAATGTTGGTGTTTGTTTTGTAATAAATATTATATTTTTTGCAAACCCTCATTCATCTCTGGTCCATTTTAAATGTATTTTCTTTTAACTGATTAAATTTGTGCAACTGCACAATAACTACAAACATAAGTATACTGAAAATAAATACCCAGCCACCTGTTAATCATGGTGCGCACTACTCTAGATCTGTGGCATTAATGAGTCTGTGTAGAGCGGAAGACAGAGTAAATGTGTAGCAGCGAGTCACTCATGGGCGGGTTCATCCGCCTCCAGCAGTCAGTCCGAGAAACCTGAGAGCGCACCAAAGTAACAAACACAAACATGGCGCCTACTTGCTCCCATACAGGCTAGCGTTGTACTGAAACAAAGTTCCAAGGATTAAACAACGCGCTCAAACTGGGTGGAGGTTTTATTCTCGCTCGAGACGGAGTGGACGGGCTGAAAGTTGCAGCTTGCCTACATGTCAACGTGTTTTCCTACAGAGCTCTGAACGGCTGGTACGTAGTACGGTTGCGTTTGAAGTTGTTTCATGTAGACAATCGTATTAAGTTGTTGCATATTTTCCGGCAGGTAGTTTCGGAATGACTTGTAACTTAATGTGCTATTTTCGCTGTCGGTCTTTTTTAGGCTTGCTTGTTTCCACGAGTCGGTCGACATTTCTTGTTAAAACGCATACTTTGGTTTGCTTTTTATTGTCTTGAAGTGAGATCGAGTTTGTGTGTGTGAAGTTGTTCGATCTAGTCAATATGCAACAGTTGGACACACACCGGAGCTCGTTCACAGGCCTCGTTAGGAGAGAGATAACTATCAAAATCTAGTGTAGCCTACTTTCTACCTAGACAACGTTTTTTTGCGTGTGTGGGGGGCTGGGCCTGAAATTATACGCACATGATGTCTAAAAGGCAGTTCCCTATTTTTTGAGATGCCTGTGTTGTAAAGCGTGTAGGTGCTGTAGGGTGTGCCAGGTCAGCGTGCACTGCAGGTACACTGCACTTACATCCGCCTGTTTTTAGTTACAGACGAATATACACACAAATGCGCGTAAGATCTACATTCTACGTGTCTAAGAAAATTATAAAATATAGTATAATTTAGGCGGGAAAATACGTGGGACATTTATGACAAAGACAAATACATATATGACCCCTTGTTTCATAGACAAGGCTTAAGCTTTTTTTCAGACTAAAATTCAACAGTTTTACCTGAAAGCAACTTGCACTGACATGAGATACAGGCCAGTAGGCTAATACATTTCTAAGGCACGTTTATAAAAAAAAAAAAACTACTTAAATGACCTTAATGAAGTTAGGCCCATTCATGTCTAAGCCCTGCCTATGAAACCACACTTAAGTCTCAGTTTAGCCTCGCCTGGTTAAGGTGTCCAAACATGCCATTTTTTATTTTAATTACCTAGTTCGTTTTGGATTTAAATAAGACATTGTATTGCCATAAAGTCCTCTATAACAGAGATGGAAATATTTGGAATTTGTCACAGCTCTTTTCATATTTGCACTCTCTGCATATGGGTGCTTGACATGTCAGGCAGTGACACTGTGACAAATGTTAATCATCAAAACATAAAAATTAATTTTCAATTATAAAGAATAGGCATACATGCTGTGTAGAAATGGTAACAAGTTACTGCATTGTCCTTTACCTGTATTTGGTGTATTATTTTTATTAAAGAATAGTATTATTTGGCAAATGATCATATGCTAATTCAAGGATACGAGTTTGTTTTCATACTTTTATTGTGTTTAGAGGGAGATTGTGAAGGCCAAATGTCACTGAGTGATTCACATTTAAGTGATTGATCAATAGCTGTAGTGACCTTAACCTTCTGGATTTACCCATTGTCTGTGCAGCGGTCCTCTGTTCATTATACTGAATTAGGATCACTAGGTTTAAGGTTTTGTGTGTGCCTCCATGTTTGTGTGCTGACCCTGCTGTCCTCAGGAGCGGTTACAGGTAACCATGTCCATGAGGCATTGTGGGTATGACATAAGACAGGCCTTGTGGCAAGAGGGCCGAGCTGCTCAAATGAAAGTGAAACACAAAACCACACGATAATACTGTTGCTGTGCTCACTCTCCCTTTAGCTTGAAAAGGCTTTGAGAAGTGAAATCAATTATGTCACGTGACCAAGTTATGTTTTGTGCGAAAGGCACTTCGGTCAATAAAAGCATGCTTTTTATTGGGTCATGATAGTGATGCTAAACTGTGCTTGACAGTGACACAGAAGAAATGTTTGAATCATGGTATCAAAGACTTTTTTGTATTGTGACATTGTTGTCACGCTTAAGGACAATTCCCAATTAAAATTGGGCGGCAATTTAAGTTCGGGCGGCAGTGGCTCAGTGGTTCATGTGGGTTGTCTATGAACCGAAAGGTTGGTGGTTCAATCCTCGGTTCCACCTGACCAAGTGTCCATGAGCAAGACACCTAACCCCAGCTGCTCCCGACGAGCTGGATGGCGCCTTGCATGGCTGACACCGCCGTCGGTGTATGAATGAGTGTATGAATGGGTGAATGTGAGGCAAAATGTAAAGCGCTTTGGTGGCCATTAGGTCTATGAAGGCGCTATATAAATGCAGTCCATTAAAATGGTCCTGTCATAGAGTGAGTATACAAATGGCAAAAAAAAAAAAAAAAAAATTGAAACACAAAAAAAATCAAGTCAAGTCACTTTTATTCATATAGCACTTACTATACAAATTGTTTCAATGATAACAGGAAAATAATGCAAGTTTGTGTCTACCGCTCACGATCGCTCACTCTTAACAGACGCACTGTCCCCGCGTCACAGAATGTTCATAAAGCGCTCCCCGTTCACAGTAACCAGATCGTCTCATTCAAAACAGCCAGCTGTTGCTGTCAGCAAGCCACCGCACATTGAATACTCATATGAGTCAGGCTGCGAATGTAATGGCAGCTCTGAATGGTGCTAGCTTGGTCAACATCAGCGAATGATCTCTGTCAAATGAATTCAAACTAACAATAAAAATGTAATATGAACAAAACGAATACCGTAAAACTACAAATAATAGCCTGGGCTTTTATTTTCCAATATCGTCGAAATGCACCGGCTTATATTTTATACAGGCGTCTATGAGACGGCCTTTATAATTTAGTGTTGAGATGTTGTTCATTGAGTCTCTAATCTCTTAAAATCTCCAAATGCTCCACGTGAAACTGTGGTCTTCCAACCTTTTACTATCGTGTCAAATGATTTGATTAAATGGAGGGTTGACTGCGATTTCACTTTTTTCATTTTAAATCGTGTGTAATGTTGCTGTTGGTGCATGAACAGTATCTGCAAAGTTGCAGCGCTGAAATTTCAGTGTAAGCAGAGATATCGTCTTTTAAAAATCAGGAAGTATATTGCCTACAAAAACGACTCTATTGGGACTATAGCTGGGTTATGGTACGTCACTAACCCACACATTTGCATCAACCCCTCCCTCAGAATATGCAGAAAATGGCATGCGCATATTTCTGAGGCACGTCGACTCGTTGAGTGTGTTGTTCACGCAGCTGTCAGGTCTTCTGTGTTTCGGGCTTCCCATGGGTGCTATACTTCCTCAACAATGGATACAATTTATGTTTGATTATGTTCCTGAAAATGACGATAGTAATCTAGCTCTCTGTGCTGCGCATTTTACGGAAGACAGCTTCCAGAACAGCTTGTAATCACAGTGAAAAAGTGTGTGATCTGAGTGATTCCAAGTGATCTGAATCAGTTGTGCAGTGTCCAACTGAACCGAACTGAATCAGTTCAATGTTATGCCGGAAGTATGGTTACACGAGGTAAAAAAGATATAAATACTGTTTGTTTTCTCACAAAAACCACTCGTTTCGTGTCTTAGGGCATCAATGTGGACTTACATTTACGAGTCATTAAATAATGTTTAATTTTGACTGCTCTTTGAGGTGGACCCCCTGCACCTCCAGTGTATGACTGACAGACAACAACGGTTTTACCTAAAATTATTAAAATTGAAGATACTGTGGAAACAAAGACACCTACATCTTGGATGCCCTGGAGGTAAGCTAAAACATATCAAAAGTTAATTTCAAAGTGAACTATCCCTTTAAGTTTATCAAGCGTTGAGAATACTTTTTGGGTGCAAAAAACAAACAAACAAACAAAAATAACAACTTTATTCAACTATTCATTTCCTTCTCTGTGGGCTGTGAGATTTCACGTACTGAAACTGTGCAAAGCTTCTGTGTTGCACGTCACACTTATGCTTACTATTGGTCGACGATGGTCATGTGTGTGACGTACTAACATTTTAACTGCACTTTACCAGCTCATCGTTGTTGTGGGTTGTACTCTTGTGTCTAGAGCATGGAGCTCAGATGTCATTGTGTTATGATAGAAGGGTGGTTTCTGTTAGTCAGTGTGGAACTTTATACTACTTCTCATGTTTCTGTCTCTGCAAGAGTGTGACAGCGAGTCTAGGGCTGCAACAGCTAATCAATAAAATCGATTATAATCATTTATGAGAATTGTTGTCAACGAATGTTTTTTTACATTTTTTTATTAGACATTATACAAACATACAAACAATAACATGACATCCAAAAAGACAACAATCCAAGATTTTCCAAAAATAGTTTAACATAAATGAACAAGAGACTAAATAAAAAAAATAAAAAACAACTAAATAAATATAAGGGCTAAATTTAACTATTTATAAATATAATAGCTACGAGAAATTACAATCCAAGACAGTATTGAGGAAAGAAGAGAAACATATAATTCTTCACTGTTCAATTATTTTCAATTCTTTAGCAATTACAATTGTGTCCGAGCATTTCTTATTATCTATACATTTAAGAGATTCAATATACACCATAAAATCAGCCAAAAAAACCTTTAAACAAGGCTTAGAATTATTAAATTTACTTTTATGAATGTGAAATTTAGAATAGAATCATAAGATTAATCATAAAATTTACAGACGTAGTTTTTGACTCAAAATATATAATAACATCTTTGGGTGTCACAATTATGACCTGATTTCCGTTGCAAATATATAGATAGATTTTCCCAAAATTTTTTAGAATGATTAAAAAAAAAGATGTAGAGTTTTTTTCTGGTTGATTCAGACAAAATGAGCAATTCTCATCAATCTCCGTAAATTTTGATAAAGTGTAATTATTAAAATAAATGTTATGAAGAATTTTTAAGTGTATTTCTCTATATTTGTTCGGGATGCAAAACCGAAATGGAAGCAACCAAGCTTTTTTCCAGATAATCTCTGGGAAGCAAATGTTCCAGAAAAATTTCCCTCTTGGCTGAAAGGACCTATTTTTATAAAATATATTTCTAATAAATTTATTGGAGCATTTTTTACTATTAAAGTCCACACCATTTAAATAAAGTACAGGATCACTTCTACATATGTTAAGGGATGACATATGGCTTCTCATTAACATCATTAGACCTGAGGGAATGGCTTTTATCACAGAATAATATTCTCTATATTTA